GCAGAAAAATGAAAAATAATGCAGCAACTACATAGCCTTAAACTTTTTTAATTATATTTACTTATTCATATTCATAGTTGTATGAGTGGGTCAAAAATTATTAGTTTCATAAGTTGAAGTATACGAGTCAGAAGTGCTTCTGATTTTAGCAACTGGAAGGGACTGGAGAACCAAAGTGAAAAGTGAGGGTGAAACGAAGGAGGAGTGGACACGAAAACTAAATGAAGGAGGTGATGCGGGGGAAAGGAAGAAGGAAAGAGAGACAGTATGAAAAAAAGCCAGAAAAGGGTGACCGGTGGAATTTGTTTGATTTTATTCCTTTTTATGTAGGAATGTTGAAAGTTTTTTGAAAAGCTTAAAAATTGAAAATCGAAACGTATGTGTGCGTGTGTGTTTGTGCAGAAAAAAAAAAAAACAAGTATAAAAAAAATAAAGCAGTTCTTCGTAATGGTTTTGAGGTTTGGTGTTGTCGTCACACTGCTGTCGCCGTTGTTTGTCACTGCTATGGCTGCTATTGCTGCAGTTGATGCAGTTGCTGCAATGGTGGGTTATCACTGCAATAGCGCAACGATTGCTGCGTTCCCCGTTGTTGCAAAGTATAGTAGGGTGAAATAAAAATAACCTTCGTTTAACATTTTTTATTTAGTCAACGAGTTTATCAAACAAATTTTTGCTGTAAAGGGCTCAGTTGACTTTCCCTTTCTCCAAAAACACCTTTTTTTCTGATGATGAAGACAAAGAAAAGAGAAAAGAAGAAGTAGAATGTAATGAGGGGCAAAGAAGGGGAAGAATTTAGGACAAAGGAAATAGAAGGAAGGCTGGCTGGTGAAGAAGGAAGAGAGACAGGAAGATTGGTGAATGTCGTGGAAAACAAATTATGTATCGATTTTGCCGTCTTTATCCTGAAGTTTAAATCCTAAAGAATAGCAACAGAAGCAAACGATCAAAGCAGTTATAACAATAATGTAGAAATAATAATAGTAGTACTTAGAATAACATCAGTAATAATAATAATAATAATAATAATAATAATAATA